TTTTATTTATTTTGATTTATTGATGCATAGAAGAACTCGGGTACAGGCCAGAGGTATGGGGAGGTGAGAGGATTCACCAGAGACAGAGTGGGGAGCAGAACAGGTAGATGGACTGAAATATACTGCTGAGGGGAGCAGCGGGTGGTCAGGAGAGGTCTGCTGTGCCACGTGAGTCAGCTCTGGCGGGGATTGAACTTGTGCTGCAGAGGCTGGCAAAAGCTTAATAGTGCTGAGGCTGAGGTTTAACCCCTGCACTACCAGGGAGGCCCAGACTAGGTTTTTTTTTTAAACTGTTGTATTTCTTTGGACTCACTTTACAAGTAAGAACCAGCTAGTGGCAGGGGAGAGGGAGCTTTTTCCAATATTCCCAGCTCCTCAGCACAAGAGGGTGGTTTAATAAAGCACTGTACTGTGGTATCAAAAAATGATTAAAGATCCATCCTTTGGAGTAACTCTTGTTCTCTGAAGGTGATTATTTATATTTAGGCTATGTTTCTTGTCCTCACTATTATTCTTGCCAATATACAAATGAATTTTATTTGCTAGGGGAGAAAATGGCTTAAGCAGAGTCTCCTTATCCTCATCCCCGCAATGTTGGCACTGTAAGACTATGTAATTTTAGATTCCTTTTGGGATGTCCCTATGTATATAAAATAAATGCAAATTTAAGATTGCAGATTTCTCCTGTGAGACTAGGGCAGCTGGAATCATGATGGTTTGCAGCTATTCTAATTCCAAGAGTAGACAAATGTTTATTTCATTTTTATTGCCTTTTTTGATCCATTTAAGCTTTGAAATTAAAAATAAAAGCAGTGGGGGAAAAGTGTCTTAGGCCAGAAGGGATGATTTGAATTTTTGGAATGCTCGTCAACATTTCAGGAGGAGTGGTAAGCCACTGGCATTGATGTTTTTGACTTGAGCAGCACACCCCGAGGCTCCTTGGGTCCCCTCTGCTGTGCCTTAGTGTTGAGCTGGGTGGCCATTGATTTGGGGTCTGGTTGTTCTAATGAGGAGTGTCATAATCTTATATACTTCACGTTGTTCAGTAACCATTTGCTGAGTAAATGATTAATAACAATATGTTAACTGTCTGCTATATATGCCAGGCAGTGCTCTTTATATGCATCTCCTTATGCAACTTCCACCACAAGGCTAAAGGGATATATTACCACTCTTGCGATATATTTTCCCAAGATCAAGTATCCAGAAAAATTGAGCAAGAATTCCAGTCTAGGGTTATAGGACTGCAAGTGTTGTTCTCTTTCTACTTTGCAGGAAAGAGACCTTAGGTTAAAACTATAATTAAAAGTCAAGTCCTGGCTGGAAAAGATCATGCTTAGTGAGATAAGCCAGAAAGAGAAAGAAAAATACCGGATGGTTTCACTCATAGCAGGAGTATAACGGACCAGGCGAGAAAATAACAAAAATAATGAACAACCATAGACCAGAGACATTATGTGGGGGTGGAGTGGGGAATGGGATCAAAAACGGGGGGGGGGAAGGGAGGGAAATGCACGGGACTATGGTGGTGGCACAGGGGTGATTTGGTGATGGGAAACCCGTGGGGATTACAGTTGTGATGAAAAAAAAAATGTGAAAAATGATGTAAAAATAAACTTTTTAATAAAAAAATTAAAAAAAAAAGTCAAGTCCTGAGGGGTATAACAACCTCAGGCTTGGTTGCTGGCCTCATCAGTGTCCCAGAAGGCAGATCTTTTCAGACCAGAGGGAGTAAAGAAGCAGATCAAATTTGTGGTCCTCTAGATGCTGCAGTAAACGCTTGCTGCCACTAGAGGGCCCCCTCCCCCAGGCAAAGGCGCAGCCTCGCTAGCGCGAAGTAGCTAGAGGGCCTAATGGCAATAGCCGGGAGCGGTCCCTGGACTCCGCCGCACCACCCCGACGCTCAACCCGTCCTTTTTGCCGGAATCCGTGGGTCAATGCAGAGCCTGTACAGCCCGGCTAATCCAAAAGCAGTGCCCCAGGCTGGAGCAGCGAGGAAAGGATGAGCCTCATCCTTCCCCTCAGGTTTTCACAGCTGCACCCGGAGCTCCCCGGGTGGGAGATCCTTTGGGGTGCACGCTTAAGCGCCTTTGAAGGCTCCCCGCTTAAACTCACGCTGCGGGCGGGGGAGGGGAGGAGGAGAAGTAAACATTCCTCCCGGAGACTCGACGGGGATAACCCAGAAACACCTCCAGAGGCCACTCTGGGCTGGGCTGGGCCGGGCCCTCGCGCGCCACGAAGGACCGCAGAGGAAGTGACCCACGGCCACCTCGCTTCGGAGGGGCCAGCAGACCTGCGCCCAGGTAGGTTCTGCAGAGACAGGGAGAGAGGAGCCTCCCAAGTATTAAAGCGCCGTTCTGTTCGAAACTATCCCACCGAGAGGACCACCCAGGGAACTCCCCCACCCTCACCCCTGCCCAGAGCCCGGGAGGGCGGAGGCCTCTGCCACAGCCCGAGGGGCTCCGTCTAGAGGTGCGTCTAGGGGTGAGGACTCTACATCTAGGTCTCTCAGTCTCAGTGACAATGCCGGGGGGCGCCTCGAGTGAAAGGGGCCCGTTACTTCGCCCTGCCTAATCTATTGCCGCAACCACATCAAACAAGACGCACGGAAAGGCTCGAGGGGCACCAGGAGGAACTGCCCGGCGCGGTGGTTCTCTCTTCGGTTTTTGTCAGTTACGCCTGTATTTAAAACGCGAGGGGGGCGAGATGCAAACTGAGTTTGTCAGACATTTCCAGAAGCTTCACGAGTCCCTGAAAGGAGGTGCGAGAAACAGGACAGCCGAAGGGGTCGGAGCTTTGGGCGGAGAAGCCCTAGCGCCTCGCCGCTAGCGGACTGATTTCGGGTTCGAGCCCCGCGACGGGGCAGGTACAAACTGAAGGGGCCCCGAACGGGCCGTCCACTTTGTGCGTGGGAACGTTTTCTCACAACCAACGCGCCCCCCCCCGGCCCCCTCAGACGAGGAGCGCTCCGAGGCGTCGCACTGGGTGTCGGTGGGAACCAAGCAGCCCCGAGCCGCCCCGCCACGCAGGGCAGGCGGGCAGCAGCCGGGCAGCGGCAGCGGGGCATTGTCTCAGCCCCTGGGGTGGGGTCCTGCAGGGGGAGGGGAGGCGGTGTGTCCCCGGGACCCGCCCTCTGGCCCTCCCTGGGGATCCCTGCCTCCGCGCGGCCGAGCTCCCGGCTTTGTGAAGTGTTGCGAGTCACCATGGAGACCCAAAGGAATGCGGAGACCCCGGCGAGGGGAGTCGGCCGGGTCCCCTGCGGCGCCCTCCGCCCCTCTCGGACCCCAGCCTGCAGCAGGGCCTGTCGGGAGTTGTAGTCCCCAGGCCGCGGCCGCGCGCGGCGCGGAGGATGCGGGGCGCTGCCTGTCCCCGCCTTCCCCTAACCTGCTAGCGCGAAGTGGGGAGCACTGGGGAGGAGCCATCCGATTGGTGATTGGCGGAGGCCGCCTCAACCCCCACCCACGCCCCTCCCCCGCGCTCGTCTACGGACTCCAGCGCTCGGCGCGCCAAGGCGGCGATCGAGCGAGCGAGCGAGCGAGCGCGCGTGCAGCCGCCGCCGCCCCGAGCACCCGCAGCTCCCGCGCCGCGGTGAGACTGGAGGCACCGAGGACCGAGGACACTGGCAACCGCAGCTTCCCGGAGGAGTGGGTGATGGCGGGGCGGGCGGTGGGCTTATCCTCCCAAGGCTGAGACACCCGCCTCACGCCCTCTGTTTCTCTGAGAGGCGCACAAAAGGGCGGGGATCGCGGTGCGCCTCCCGGCCCCGCTGCCAGAAAACAGGGCGGGAGGTGTGGTCGGGATTACGGGCGGCCATCGGGGCTAAAGCGGGGTCCGCATCCGCTCCTCTTTGTAAGCCCAAAGAGGGCGGCGTGATGCCTCGCTCTCACTAGGTGTTTAATGTGTGTTCGTGGGAATTGCCAAGATTTGGGGTGAGGAAGGGGTTGCTGGAAGGGATTTCACCCCTTGCAAACAGTGGGTGCCCAGCCTCGCTCGTCGAGGCGCAATGGATGGCTCGAAGGCTGGTCGGGGCTTCCCCTGTGCGGGTCCGTCCTGCCCGAGTCCCTAGATCAGAGCTGTCCCGGGCACCCACCCGCCGCCCGCACACACACTGTCTCGCCCCCGCGTTGGGATCGGCCCCGCCTAGGCCTGACTCGGCGACCGGTGCCATCGGGCCGGCCGACGCGGCGGGCGGCCGCGGGAGGGCTCGCCCGCCGCCTCCGCGGCACCTGCCTGAACCACAAAGGCCGCCTGCTGCAGCCCGGCGGGAGCGGGCTTCGAGCGGAGCCCCTTTGCTGGAGCTGCGCGGGAGCCCCCCCAAAATCGGTGCTGGGTAGGCGAGAGGCGTCGACGCCCCAGGCCTGGGGAGAAGCCAGGAGTCCTGACTGGGATGTGGGGAGCGGGGGTGGGGGAGGCAGGGGCGAGGCCTCGGTTTGAGCAAAGATGGGGAGATGGGGAAAGCTGGGTGGGGACAGGTGACTGGGCCTGGGAGGAGGGGGAAGTGGAGACGCAGGTTTGGGGAGGAAAGGGGTGGGGGCGGGAGGCGGGTCAGAGATGCGAGGGAAGGAGCTGGATGCAGGTGGCGCGCAGCGAGGCTGGGGCTGAGGAAGAATGAGCTGAGGAGGGGAGACGCGGGAGGGTGGAGACCGCCTGGGTCTGGGGGACGGTCGACGCGAGGGGTGGGGCGTCCCCGGGGAGGGAGGTCCCTGGGGAAGGGAGGGGCCGCAGCTGGGAGGCGGGTCTCCGTGCGGCCACCCTCGGCCCGGGCTCGCGGCTCCGCGGTGCAGGTGGCTGGCGGGCGTGGCCCTGGGCCCGGTGAGCGCCCCTGGGTGGCGGGCCCGGCTCTGGGATGGGGTGCCCGCGAGGAGCTTTGTCTCGCGGCTGAGTCGCGCGCCGCAGGCACACCCTTTTCTTGGCGGCGCTGAAAGGCTCGGTCCGGCGGCGGAGGCTGCCGGGGAGGCGGAATGCGGGTCGTCTCCCACAGGGGTGTCCAGAGAACAATAGCGAACGCTGGTTTTCCCTCGGCAACCAACTGGGCTCCCCAGAACTCAAGCGCATGGTTTTCTGGAACAGAAAATGCTCTCGGAGCGGTCTCGGAGCACGGTGCAACTCTTGGGGTTTGTGTGGGGGACCCCCAGCCCCGTGGTTAAATCTGGTTGGAATCGCGCGTCCCCTCTAAACTATGGGGCGGGTGAGAGTCCCCCGCCCCGGGCTTTGCTGCCTTCTGTCTGCCGCGCGGCCGCCAGCCCCAGGCTGTTGCCCAGCAGCCGAGACGTGGCGTGGCGACCCGGGGGTCGTGTCGGTGCTGAGCAGGCTCTCGGAGCTGCCGGCTTTGTCTGCCCAGATGGCCCGCATCGAAGGTCGGCGGTGTGTTCTTAGAGGGAGCAGTCAGGGCTGGTGCCGGTGCGGTAAAATCGGGGGAAGTGGTCTTGGATACTCTCCGCCAAGGGTGTGACTCCCGGTCTTAGAGCGGCCGCGGCCGCCGGGGAGCCAGGGTGTTCCTCTCCCGGTGACCACACCCAAGCCAGCGCCTGCATCCTTTGCACATGTCGCCAGTATTGTCTGTGACCTCAAACGGGACTGCTTTGAGATAGGAGGTGGCCGCCTGCCCGTGGGAGAGCAGATGAACAGAACTGGAAACAAAATAGGGATTCCACAGAGCCCCCGTGCGCTCTTCTTGCTGCCTAGCTAAGCACCTGGCTTTGCCACCTGCAAGGTCTCGCTCGACATGACAGCTGAAAGCTAAAATTTTGATTCCTTTGATGATCATTTTGCTAATATTAAAGGTGATTCCTAGCATAAGGTGCATACTTTGAAACTGCCATTCATTCAGAAAAAAAGAAAAAGAAAAGGCGAGGCAGAGCATTTTTACCCGAGGAGGGGAAGAAGCCTGACTGTGTGTGGCAGCATGGCAGCACCTATTGGCAGGACTTACTCTTGCCAGTAGTTAACTGGTGAAGCTGTTGGCCCTTAACTAGCATGAAACCAGGCTGTTCTTTCTCAACCAGGTTGATGCTTAAGGTGAGGGCCGTGATGTGACGTCACCTCTTGCCCAGAAGTGTGGTGGTGGCCAAGGCTCAGGCCCCTCATCTGGGCTGTCCCCAGTGACTCCAGGGAAGCAGCTGGAGGCTCCACCCACCCCTCCCCCCCATTTAAAGAACGGGGCACTGAGGAGGGCCTCCCCGAATTACACAACTGGTGACCAAAGACTAGAATGTTGCTCACTGGGCGCCTTTAACTGAATTAGATTTCTCTCTCTGGACAGGTGAAACCGGGAATCGCAATGCTAGAAGCCGGCAGGCTCACACTGGAGGTTTTTCTTTTGAAAGACCCTGTGGGAAATGTGCCTTCATGTCACATCCAAGGGGGTCAGCTTCACGAGGGAATGCTTGGTTGGTTTATTCTGGACTTAGCGCATCATCCTACGAAAGTGCTGTGTGAACATCCAGGGTCTCTTTTTCTCACAGTGGGGAGCCCACAGAGGCATCCTCCAACTACTACCTGTGAAAATGTCTGGGGTGAGAACCCAGAGTGGAGTGGCAGGAACTCCAGAGAAGGGCTTTTGGGTACCCACAGTTCTGGGCTGCCTATCTTATCTCCCACTTCCCTGAGCTTGGGGACCTCAGCTGGGTGTACAAAAGATGCCCTCAGTATATAAAGACCTGGCCATTTTCAGCGTCACACCCCCAAGATGCAGGGGTGAGCCAAGCCAGTTTCAATATTCTTTAAGTGCCACTTGTTTCTGGAAAATGCTGCACGGCAAGGCCAGTCTAAAATTCGGTTCAGGCTTCATCTGTGGCGGCTGCTCCTCTCTGTCCTCCTTATATTAGGGACTGCGGGGCAACGCCCCTCCCTCCCAGTGCCTCTGACCCAGCGGTCAGTGGGGTGCTACATTAGTTCCAGGGAGCTGTCTAGGTCAGAGGCCGCACAACTGTGGACACATCTCTGGGGTAAATTAGGATTTAGATAAACATTGAGAGCCAGGAAAGGCCGTATTAGGAAAGAGCATCTAAGACCCGGGCCATCTTCCTAGTATAAAAATTAACCAACTTGTGATAGAATATAATCCTGCTCAGCCATTTTTGTTTTCTGAGCTTTAAGAAAATAGTTTAGAAAAGTCTGCTAAGCCTTAGTCCACAGACTGTTGGAAAATAACAGAATCTCCCTGACAGTGTGGAAACCATAGAGAGAAAGAAGTTGGTGTAATTGGCGTCAAGTGAGAATAACAATATGTTTTGATTTTAGTGCTGGTGAATAAAAGAGAAATGATCTAGATTATTTCTAGATCATCTTACCTTACATTTTCATAAGAACACAAGCTTCAAATATTATAGATGCATCATTCATGAATTTTGATGTTTATGTGTAAAGGCAGACATAAATTATAGGTTTTTAGAAAAGACATTTATGAAGGGATATTGTTTATGATTTCTTCTATCCCGATCTTTGAAACTTGTTTAATTTAAAATAAACAGATGGAACCATGGCATTCCCTGAACCCCTCATGCCCTGCCGCTAACCACAACCTAGTTGCATTCTTGCATCCCCATCTCTTTCTGCCCAAACCTCTTCCTCACAATCTGGCCTCAGAGACAGTGTTCACGGGAGGCATACATAGCCTGGCCTGAGCCAGAAAGCCTGGGTCTGAAGCCCAGCTCAACCCGTTTCTCTTGGGGCTCATTCTGTCCAGCGAGGATTCCTTGACGCAGCAGAGGCCTGAGAGCCGTGTCTTCACTTAGTGTCAATAAATTAATTATCACCATCATTATATTCCACCCCCCTCCAGAATGTGTGTCTGCAAAAACAACATTTTTATTCTCCATTGAAGCTTTTATTGCTTGGGGCCAGGGCAGGCCCTTTGGGATGACAGAGAATGGCGAGGACCCTTTCTAAGGCTTCCACCCTTGCAAGTAGGGGGGTAGCTCTGTGGGAATAGCTGAATCGGGCCTCTCTCAGCACAGCTGTTTTCAGCAGCTGAGAACTTGCAGGGTTAGGAATGTTCCAGAAGTGCTCTGAACTCGCTGGCCTGAGTCCTCCTGCATGTGGGGTTGGCCTGGAGTCTCACCCCACTCCTGCTTCATCGAAGGGCAACTGTGGCTAATGAAATGCTGTCCCGAGACTGTTCTGTTCTTGGTGTGGGAAAGAGCAAGCACGTTTGGTTGATGGCAAATTGTTGGGAATTAAAATATCTCAAGTTTTACAGCTGAGAAATAAGCCTGGCACCACAGAATTATTTATTTATCAAACCCTTTCAAAGCACTTATTCGGTAGTCAGGGTGGGTCCAGCTCCTGAGTTAAGTAGTTATTATCCCCGTTTTATGGTTGAGACATAGAGGGACAGAAATTGCCCAGCTCGTAAAATGGCAGAGCCAGAATCTATTAGGGTTCACAAGCAGGGTTCCCCCCACAGAAACTGAACCAATACGGGTTGACTTAATGATGGGGTTGGCAAGTCTGGTGTGCAGGAGCTGATATGGTCAGGTAGATATTCTCCTTCCTCAGAAAAATCTGTTTTTCTTTGGAGCCTTTTCTATTGATTGAGGCCTGCCCACACCACTAAGAAAATCTCCTTAGTCAACTGACTGTACATATTAACCCTCTACAGAAAACATTCCCAGCAACACTTACGGACGAGGGTTTAACTGACTAACTGTGTGAGACAGTCTGGCTAAGATGGCACAGAACCCTACCTATGCCGGGATGCTTTCAAACGCTACGCACACCAAGACCCTTATTTGTTGAGAGGAAGGTTTACAATAAACTGAAGAATTTAGCCATGGGGCTATCCTGTTACAAAATTGTGGCATACTTAAAATAGAATTTGGACTTTATTCATCGTTGTATCTTCTGGCACAAAATATTGCTCAGGGTAAGTGTTCAGCAGATAATACGGAAAGAATGGCTGACGGAATGATTTAGGTGATATTTCACAGGACTTTCCAGCCACCTAAGACCACCGACTCCTCATTTAAATTTAAAGTCATTTGACCCAACTGAGGCTGAGGGTTAATGAATGACTAGATTCTCTCGAAATCAGGAGAATTTCTGCTTTCTGAATGAACATGTCACCTCTCACCCCCAGCATCTGTCCATTTTCTCTGGCTCACCAACGTTCTTTGGGTCTCTCACTACCCCGACTTCTTGTGAGTGTGAATCCCACATGTTAGCAGTGTCCCATACCGGCCACACATCTTTGTGTCACTTCTGTGTCAATTTACAGCAGCCCCTTTGTTGATGTCAAGTCTGCCTGGGCTCGCTCTGATTTCTCAGGCCCTGAGTCTTTATTCTCCCTGCTTTTGTCTGAGCCTGTCCTTCCCTTCCTTTGTCACTCTCCAGGGACTGAGTCTCTGGTGGGGAAGTCGCCTCCTTCCTCACTTGGACGCTTCAACCAAACTTCTGTCTTTGTGGATCAATGTGTTCCTGCTATAAAACTGAAAAGCAGCCCCCAGTCTTAAATTTAGTGTCCCTTTGCTTGTTTTCAACACTTGTGGAACACAACTTGAAGGAAGTTTGTACACAATACACATAGAAAAATGGGTGACTTTTGGGGGATGGATGTGGGTGTATTTTTAAAATATTTTTACTTTGGTGAATATTTACATTTTAATGAAGTCTATACAGAAAAGCATACAAACCCAAGTGTCTAGTTGAATTTTCACAAACCAAACATATCCACGTACTAGGCACCAGGTCAAGAAACGACCAGTGACCAGAGCCCCTCCTCACCCCCAGTCCTGCTGACCCTCCAAGGTCATTGTCCACTGTCCTGACTCCAACAGCTCAGATCTGCTTTGCTTCTTTTGAAATTGTTACAGATGGAGCCAGAGATGGTCCAGCCTTTCAAAAGTGGCTTCTTTTGCTCAGTGTTGTGGTGGTTGCGTTTGCTTTGCTAATTTTCTCATTTTCATCATTATATAGCATTCCATTGTGTGACTAAACCAGAATTTATTTACCCCTTAAGTTGTCAGTGGGCATCTGGGTAGTTTCCAGCAGGCTCTGCTGAACAGTGCTGCAGTGAACACATGAGTCTGGGTCTTTTGTGAATATAGGTCCGTTTCTATGTTCTTAGGAGTGAAGTAACTGAGTCAGGTCTAGTAGATTGTGTCAAGAGGATGAA